AGCCCGGCCCGCCTGGCAGCCTCCACCTTGGGGACCCTTCGCCGAGCTTCCCTCGCCTTCCCGAAAACCTGGATAGCTTTCTTCATCCCCGGGGACCTCAGAGCCCAGATTTCACAGCCCGACCCCAGAGACTCAGGCGTGCCCCTCCCGGCTCTCTGAGTCCCCAACCGAACCCTAGAATCCCAGGCGTACTGCCGCCTTGCTCCTCCTCCGGAGCCCCAGGAGCCTGGGTTTCCCAATTCAGCCCCAGAAACCCCCTCTGGACCTAGATCCTTCTCCTCGGCCCAGTCCTGGCAGCTCCAGACACCGGCCGCGTCTGTGTCAGACTCCCCCGGCTAGGGCCGGCCGCCCCCCCTTCCGTCCTGTCGCGTCCGCATAGTCCCCCATTCACCGACCCCTTCTGCCCATCTCCGGTCCTCCGGCTTGAACAACCGGTCGAGTCCCTCAGTCCAGGCCCGCTCCGCGGCCGCTCTGGACACAGGCCCGCTCTGGAGCTGTCCATGGTCACTGTGCTCGGCAGCCTCGCCTCCCCCATCTCCTGCTGCCTTCGCCGGGGAGGGGGCGCCGGCGGCTCGGGGATCCCCCCGCCGCGCCTTGGACCCGGGGATACCCGGGCCCTCCCCGATTCGAGGACCGGGGCCTCAGGTTCTGCTGCCTAGGCTCTCAGCCCTGGCCGTCCCCAGCGCCCCAGGTTTCCAAGACCCCAGCTGCTTCTTGAGGAGTCAGGGCTTCTGAATGTTCCTGCCTGGTCCACCTTAGGAATCTTGGCATCCGAGAATCCAGCTCCCACCTGGCTCTGGGAGCCCTGTCAGTCTTCACTTCCTCTGGCTAAAGGCCCCAGCTGGTAGCCCTCATCCCTCAGGATCTAAAAATCCAGTTTCCCAGCCTCTGCCTCCTTTAGAGACCCAGTTCAACAGCCCCTGTTCCCCTCAGATAAATATACCCAGCCTCCTGGCACCCTAGCATCTGCTCTCTTAGGGATTCAGGCGCCATGACTCTCTCTCTTTCAGGGACTCAGAATGCAATTCTTAAAGCAGTTCTCTGGTTTCCGCCCACCCTCCCCCTTGGAGACCTAGAGGCCTTGTCCCTGATCCTGCCTCTCCTCAGGGACCCAGGAGTTCAGTACCCACTTTCTGTACTGCCCCCCAAAGCCAACTACCCCTGCCCTCCCTTCCAACAAGAACTCGGGCTCCAAACTTCCATCTCCTGTCCTTTGTCGCCACAAAGATCCTGGAGTCCAGTTCCCCAACTCTGCCTGCATTCCCCCCACCAAGTACCTAGCCCCTCAGCTCTTACTCTTAGGGACCCAGATCCCTACAGCTTCACCATCAGCCATCAACTTGACATCTCTGGTGGCCTTGAAAAAACCCCACTTCACCCCCATATCTCAGATTCTGGGTTCCCTGGGGTTCCCTACTTTCTCCCCAGAGACCCCTGAGCTTCTTGAGATGTTTCCAGCACCCCATCATGATGTTTTCTTATCCTGAGTGATGTCCCATCCTTTAGGTACACTCTCAGGCTGATGAACCAAACATACATCCCTTCCTCAGATGTGTTCTATGGCCTAGGCTCATTTTGTGATCTAGAACTGTCTTCCCCATTTCCAGCAAAACATGTGTCCTGGCAATGCTCCATGTTCTAGATTCTCTCTAGATCCTAGAACACTGCCAGTCAGCATCTCTGTTCCTTCTTCACCCAAAGCATGTTCTAAATTCTAGGTTGGATGCTAAGTTCTAGGCATGGCTTTTCCCAGGTGAATTCGAATATTTAGATAATGCTCCCAAGCTAAATTCTGATCCCACCCTCTTCTCCTTAGATATGTTCCAATTTTTCAAAGACAGTCTCAAAATTTCTGCTGAAATTTCATTTTGGGTGTGTTCTAGGTTCCAGCCACATCCTAGGCGTTGTTCTAGAGTCCATTCTCTTCTTCCCAGGGGAATTCTAAGTGCTAAAATGTGTGGGTTCCTTTGACGGGCTCTGCTCTTTTTCCAAATTGTGCTATCAATTCTAGAATGCATTTTCCTATTTTAGGTTCCATCTGATTCTACAGTCTTAAGACTCAAGGATTCCCACTGAAGTGTTGTATGTTACATCTTCCTGCCTCAGGTTTTATGTACCAGGCCCATCCATTCCCACCTTTTCTGTCCTTCTTTTCCCACGTGTGACCTTGGTTTAGAACTTATCCCCTTGCAGACTGTGGGCTTCCTCTATCTGCTACTTCAGCATTCTAAGCATGCTCTAGGCTCTCTCCCCTTCTGGAGTCTTCAGCCTAGAAATGTCCTCATTTCTAGAACATCTCCCACCTCCACCCCCTTTGCCAGCTCAGTCCTTATGCCAGTAAATTCTCAGTTCCCGGAATGCATCCTTCTGCATCTTCTTCCAGGCAATTCTGAGTTCCAGGCAACCTCCTAACTACTTTCTAGGTTTTCCTTTGCCCCCAGGGCATGTCCTGAATTCTAGGGCATGTATTCTCCCTTCTGAGTTCCAGCATTACCTAGACACATGATAAAAACTAAGAATGCAACCTTTGCTATAGTCTGTGTTATACCTTAATCCCTGGTAAGTTCTGAGTTCCAGATTATGTCTCCTGATAAATTTGTTACACTTTGCATCAGGTATGTTCTTAGGTATCAATATGCTCCTCTCTATGTTTGGGGTTCTGGGGTGACCTAGATACTTCTTTAAGTTATTAGACTGCTCTTGGCTGGTCCAAGGTTCCAGACCTGGGTTCTAGATAATGCCTCTCTATTTGGCCCTACATGCGGATCTTACCCCAAGCACATTGTAAATGTGGAAAAACATGTCCTTTCTGCACTCTGTACTGTGTCTTCATGCCAGTGGCTTTCTAGATTCTACACCCAGCCTAGCTAAATCTTGTTTCCTTCTCAGTGAATTTGAAGTTCTAGAGCAGTCTCTGTAAAACATCCTGTATTGCACCTTATGAGTAGGTTCTGGGGGTTCAATACCATGTTGGTTTGGGGCCCAAGTTTTGCTTGCCTGCTTATAAAAATTTTCTCTGAGTGTTGGGGTTCAGGTGTCCAGATTCCCAGTTGCACCTCTACAAAGACCCAAGATGCAGGCACCCAGCTGCCTCCCCTCCCAAGTCCCAGGGCCCTCAGTCCCCTCCTCTCCTCATAGGAGTCCAAGGTCTCAGTCCCAGGCTTTGGGCATAGTCTGAATATTGGGTGGGGCTGGGAATTATCTACTCTTAGAACCGGTTATGCCTCTGCCTAAAGGGAGAGAAGGGAAGGAGGGAACAGAGTGAAAGCCCCTCCTGCTTTCGGCTCTGCCAGCTAGACCCGTCTGACCTGATGTCTGACCTGCTGTGTGCTGAAGGGGTGGCTCAGGAGACCACCCTTTGTCTCTGCCCACAGCTCATGCACCCGGACTCCTGGGGCCTGGGGCCCCGGATTTCTGGGTTCTGAGGAAGGAGAAGTCTGAAGGCTGTGATTTCTGGGTCTCAAGCTGAAGGCTGAAAGCCCAGACTCTTGTGTCCTGGGAGGAGGGGGATATGGTCTCTGAGTCCTGGGACTAGGGAGGAGAAGGCTGGAGGCTCAGTCTGGGGGAAGGAAGGGACAGAGAGACCTAGACTCCTGTGACCTGAGGGAAGAGGGAGCTGGATCTTGGACAGAGTGGGAGATCACTGGACAGGCCCCCACCATTTTTTTTCCCAACTGGAGTGGGTCTTTAGATGCTTCTGGAGCTGGGATCCAGATATCTAGATATCTAGGAAGTTGAAGGAAGCAGGAATCGGGCTGGATAGCATATGAGAACCATCCCTATGACATATGGCTAACTAGGTACCAGTGACCTAATTTCTGTAACCCTGTTTTGGGGGCATCCTGAAGGCATGGTTCTCGCCTGGGCCTGAGTTTTCTCACTCAGGCAGTTGGTTGAGGGGGATTCTCAGCAGGGCCAGAATAGGTAGACCGATTTTTCCACGTTTGCTCAAGCAATGGGTCACCTGGCTTCGGTTTCTCTGAATAGGATGGGCCTAGATTTGCTTGCCGCCAGTGTCTGATGAAGTCTGACCTCAGTTCCTCCAAATGCTCTCACCCAGGTAGCCATGTATGGTTTCCTGAGAGCAATGAGCTTCACTTTATTCTGTGCCATGGTCGGAATCGTTGGGCCTCAGCTTCTTCTGGGCAGTGCTTGGGTTGCCCTGCCCCAGTTTTCACTAAGTAGTATCCCAGTGACCGTGCCTCGGTTTCGCTTCCTGTGCCTTGACCAGGACGGTCTCGGTTCCCTGGCCCCTCCCCACACCCGCAGGCCAGCACCGCCGCCATGATGTGCGAGGTGATGCCCACCATCAGCGAGGATGGCCGGCGGGG